CTCTGAAAACAAACAGGTCCTATGAAACCTACGCTCTAGCCGGCAGCACCATCATCCCAAATTAGTTGACTCATCATGTATTTTATTTAAAACTTAAAAATATAAATAGTAATACTACAATCCAAGAATATTTTACCGCAAATTTACCAGGAACTTCTATGTGGTTTAGATTCATTTTACACTTTGACCCACACTACACTAATTCAATCTCCACCACACAAACGCCTCACGCCGAAAATTATGGACCGATAAATCTAGGACAGTTGCTTTTTGTAACATAAAATACAATGCTAGTGCTTCATCCGGATGGATGTGAAGCCCACATTTTTATTTTAAGCAATTTTATAATTTTTTTGGGATTAGTTCCATAACATATGGCCATTCTAATTTAAAATCACTAGCAAAGCCTTCATTCTACCAAGCTACAGTTAACAACTTATTGTGATTACTATCATCATGAACTATGTTTAGACAATAACTACCAAATTTTGTTTTTGTACACAAATGAAAAAGAAAAAAAAAGAATTGTGACTTGACTAAACAGTGAGACTTTGTTGTTAATATTTAGAGGACGCCAATTTAGTCTTGAAAACAACCACTTTAGAAATAGGAGTAAAACTACTCCAGGCCCTACTTTAGAAAATAGTCATGAAGAGCAACATGTCCATCTACCCAGACCCTACTATAGTAAAATTCTTGTGTACTGAGTGATTTATTTATTTTGCATAAAAAGCAAGTGAAAATAATACAGTTCTGAAATAATGCAGTTCTGAAAATAAAGAATTTTCTGAAGAAGATGCTGGTGTTGTTGGCTGTAGGGAGGTCATATTTAAAATTTGAAAATATTGGCTGACGCCTTGGCCGATTGGTTTGTTTACTACACTACCAGTTCTAATGACGTCAATTTGTATTTCAATTGTTTGTCTCCGTGATCAACAAACAATGGATGTCACAATCTAGTACACAAACTACACCAGTAAGCATTAAACACAATATTTTCTATATTCATCATCAAAGGAAAGGTGTTTTGAACACATTCTTGAAAGGGGAAAAAAAAAATCATTCTTTTTTGCTTGCTGAACCAATGTTTTTGTGAATGGCTTAAAGAACTACGCCAATTTAGTCTTGAAAACAACCACTTTAGAAATAGGAGTAAAACTACTCCAGGCCCTACTTTAGAAAATAGTCATGAAGAGCAACATGTCCATCTACCCAGACCCTACTATAGTAAAATTCTTGTGTACTGAGTGATTTATTTATTTTGTATAAAAAGCAAGTGAAAATAATACAGTTCTGAAATAATGCAGTTCTGAAAATAAAGAATTTCCTGAAGAAGATGCTGGTGTTGTTGGCTGTAGGGAGGTCATATTTAAAATTTGAAAATATTGGCTGACGCCTTGGCCGATTGGTTTATTTACTACACTACCAGTTCTAATGACGTCAATTTGTATTTCAATTGTTTGCCTCCGTGATCAACAAACAATGGATGTCACAATCTAGTACACAAACTACACTAGTAAGCATTAAACACAATATTTTCTATATACATCATCAACGGAAAGGTGTTTTGAACACATTCTTGAAAGGGGAAAAAAAAAATCATTCTTTTTTGCTTGCTGAACCAATATTTTTGTGAATGGCTTAAAGAACTACCTCAGACCATTCCGGGTCTTAATAATCACCAGATGTACTTGAAGGCTTCGATAAGAAAAATGAAGGATAAGGCTAAAGAAATGGATGACAAGGTTAGGTTTCAATTTGTTAGCCCTTCTCATATTGCCTTGGTTCTTTAAGAGAAGGAATGCAAATAAGGTTGATTCCCTTAAAACACACCAACCGCCCCCCTCTCCAAAAAAAAAGAAGTCATTTAACTGTATATGATAGATATGATGTTTGGGGAAAATGATCTGTTGTTGACTTGTATTCGAGAGTAATAAAAGTAATCACGGGTAATTATTCAGTAATTTCAAAGTATAGACATGTAATACTCCATAGTATTGTGATTAGTGGAGAAGGTGGGTATTGTGTTGAGTGATTGAGAGACATAAGGGGACATAATGAATAATGATTGGTTAGAAGTACGGACACCTAGTATTCTGGGAATACTGAATAATTTCTCCTTAATCACTTAGACAATAATCTCAGTAACTAATTATTGCTTATGAACTTTACTTTTCCTTTCTATTACTATTTGTATAATTTACTTATGTAAAAAGGTAATATAATCTATCTCTTTTGCAATCTTCTCATTCAAAAGAGTTGTCCTCTTTTTTCTTTTTAAATTTTTTATGTAGAAAAATTTAATGCTGCCATTTTGTCCCAACAGCTTGTTGCTTAAGAGTTAACCATCTTTGGTGTCTATTAAAATAATTTACTTATATAAAAGAAAAAGTAATATGATCAAAAGTGCGATTTGAACCTATGTATTCTATTTGTTTTGCATACTAACCTAGCTAGTTTATTTGTTTTCTGTTCTTATTATTCTCATGCTGCACTTTACAACACAAATTTTAGTGTAATTTTGCTATAAAAAACATGTCAGAATGTCCTCGTATTGATATTGTAAAAGTGATCACGTAGCTTGTTTCCTTGAGAATCGAGATATTGTCGTTAAACTGAAAAACCACACCCATAGGTTTAGGGAAATAAAAGATTTGACCATTTGTGTTGTTATTTCCCTCATCAACTCATCAAAGCCCTTAATGAAAGGGTTGATCCATTGCAAGCTTAGCTTGGTGTTGCTGGAGCTCGCAGTTCACCTTCTGGCAGGAATTGTCCAAGCTTGACTCTGCCCACTCCGAATGAAAGCTCAACCCGAATTTTTATGTACGAAATGGGGGCCAGGCCAGCTCAGTCCTCTACTTGGGTAGAGCTGGTGGTTACATAGTGAGCACCTCGTGTATCTTGATGTCTAGGTGTGAAGTTAAGGCACAAAGGCCATGTTTGATTGAGTGGATTAGAGCATGGATTGGGATTATTAATCCGTGGGCCCAAAGTGCGTTGTCCTCTCACTTTGACCAATGATGGCCATCTGTCTGGATAACATCTTAATGGCATGTACTGGGAGTGAATCACATCTCCACCAGCATATTCCTCAAGTGTTACAAAGAAACCCACCTCATGCTTTATAGCTATACCTCCGAATCCCTGTTGATTGGTAGAATGATTACACCCTTTTATATCTATTTATTTTACTGTTGCTAAACTATTAAGCTTTTTCATGCACTATTAACGGTTAAATTTTGTAAGCACGCTTTGCTTCTCAAATAACTTTTTACCATCCAACCCCAAAATGGAAACACAAATCAGGACAACACAAATTAAATCCGAAAAGACATCATGTTGTATGTACATTCTAGAGTGCTTGTCATAGACCTTAAATTAGAAAATGTTCATCCCAGTGGAACAATTGGATGAAATAAAAAATCAGTTAGAAAAGAAAAGAGATTTTAGGTGTGAGGAGGCTTCAAAGGAACTCAATAGTGTGAAGTTGGAAATGGAATCAATGAGGCGTGATCTTGAATCAAGGCAAGCCAAGATTGCAGCTATGGTTGCAGAGGTAGTGTTTTTTGTTTTAAATTCTTCTTAAAACAGGGTATTGCCCGACTCTTCTTAGGTGAAGCAACCTTCTTGTCCAAATCTTCGACCATAAAATCTAAACCATTTTTTAGAGATCACTCGATCAATTCCCAATCAAAACAAAAATCATCACAAAGGGTATCTTTGATTAAAGCTATTTCGAGTGGATCCATATACAAGAACATGTCTTGTGGCGTTAGACATCTCCTATTGTTTGGACTACAATACAACCACTATCTATTGCAATAGCTTTTACCTTTCTCTTCCCTTGAAAATCGCCTAATGGCCGATTCGGAGTTGAGAAGGAATCCCTTTTTCAACATAGAAAAAATACCCCAGAAACACCAGGAAGAGAGCAAGTAGAGAAAAAACACAAGCAAGGAAAGAAGCCTAACTCAGAAAAACTAGAGAAAAAGGATAACTAACGAACACACCTAAAGTAAGACAAACAGCCAACACAAAACAAACTAAGATAACCAGCAACAAACCCACACCTAGAAATCTCCCAGTAAAAACTAGCCAAAGAACGCTACTGGAGGTCAAGGATAGAGTCAGTAATACGAGGACTGTAAACTAGTGTCTGCTGTAAAAAGAAAAAAGAAGGTCTGCAACACCTAAGAATGATACCGAAAGGAAGAAAACAGGGGAAAAGAAAAGAGAGAAAAATGTGAAGAGGAGCACAGGATCAGTCAGGGAAAAAGGAGTGGAAAAAGGATGAACCGTCGGAAATCTCTTACCTATTCCCCCCGAAATTGCTAAGAAATGAAATTAAATGCACCGTTCTTCCTCTATTTTTTATTTCTCTTGAACTAGAGCTTCTTCTCTCCAAGACCATCAACATAGCCACCAATCAAACCCATCACCACCACCACCCAACCAAACACAAAACCATCCGATTCAATCCAAAAACCTTCTTAACCATTTCCACATGCCAGCTCCGCTCAATCGAAGCCATAGCCACCTTTACCCCTAATCTTCTAACCACAACCCAACATCTTTCTCCACCCTACCATTTTCAACACTGCAAGGATGAGACTACCATCACTTATCTATGTTCTCTTTTTTTCTCCTTATGCTCCATTCCAGAAACACCACCACCCCCACTATAGTCAAACCCAGATTTGGAAAATTGTTCTGTGAAATCACTTAATCCGCAACCCTCCATTGAATTATTCACCTTGTTAAATCAATTAAGGAATTTCCGACACTCAGAGTTTACCAGTAATTTCAAGCTCAATACACCTAGAAAATGGCCCCATGGGTCAAACATATAAGTAATTGGGTATCTATTTTTTCTTTTTTTAAATCAACAGATCTGGAAAAAAGCTAAAAAAATACATAACTGTTGTTGTATTGTAGATCTAGTTTGTGTTTGTTGTTGTTTGAACCTGAAGGAAAAGCTAAAAAGAATACACATATAATTAGATATTTTAGTTATGGGTTTGATATCATTTTACATACATAACCTCAGTACAGAGAAGGAAAAGAAAAAAAAAATTCAAAATATGCTAGAGGCTTCACATATGTCACTAAACATACCCTCTTATATGATACACAAGATCCAAAGATTATTTAATTGTATCTGATTTGGAGATAGATAATGATATATTTGTAGCAGATATTGTTGTATCTGACCACTCATGAGAAGTTAGTTAGTCCTCAACCAAGAAGCTTTAACCATTTGAACAATAGGATGATTATGGCAAATAAAGCAATCGAACAAGCAATTATACCCCTAGCAGCCCCACACTACTGTACAAAGGTTCCAGAAGTAAAGAGAGGAATGTTGATGTTAGTGCTCAAGAAACCTAAAGCCACAACCCCTGAGTTGAGCATCACAGCTCCTGTAGTAATAATTATGCCCATTCGCAGGAGTTGATTCTGTTTGTCATCCAATACGATGTTGATGTAGTCCTCTGTGTTGTGGATGTATTCGCGCAGCTTTAAAAACCAAACAAGAAGAATTACAGCATTAGAATGATCTTGACAGATTCAGAAGAAACACCGGCTCATTTTCTTCTTTATTATTATTTTATTTTTTTCTCTTTTTTCTTCATTGCTGAAAATTTTAAAAAGATTTTTTTTTGGATGGAGTACAAAGAAATCAAAGACACAAGACATGAGATATAAGACTGCATGACAAAGAATTTAACCAACTAGGAATATTGACATGTTCTGTGATTTTGTGTAGTTAAAAGGAGTTGTCATTATATTTTCATATAGCATACTAAAGTCATATAACATCATTGTAATTTCGGTATACACGTCATTGAAGGGAAGATCAGCTGTGCTATATGCACATAAATTTTTTATAGAACCAATCACAGAAGAATGGTGGAACCCACATGTGGAACACTTAATCATTTCCCGGTTGAGGATTGGGAAAAAGGAAGCGGGGAAAGTAGATGGGAGGATGGAAACAGTTTCCTTCATTTGGCAGGAAAGAAAGGGGTAGGGAAAAAAACTTCATCAAAATCAATCATCCTAATATGTGTGAAGAAGAAGAGGGGAAAAAGGGAAACATTTTACTCACATTTTCCCCCCTTCAAATAAACACCCTTTCGCTGACAGTAAAAATATTTTGATCAAACAAAGAAACACTGTCTGCTCAACCAAACAGACAGACAGAGAGTACCCTCTGCTCTGTTGTGCTTTTCATCCCTCCTAACTCTTCTTTTTCCTCTAAAGTTTCCAAATAACCAAACAAATCTACTTTAGGGATTAGAAGTAGCATAGCATTATCTAAAAAGTAAAAACAAAGAGAAGTTTAACTTACTGTCGATAGTTTGTTTAATATTCCTTCTATTTGCACAGAGTAGGCTCCCAATAGCATTTCCAACTCTTCAACATTTGGTTTGAGATCACTTACATCTATATTACTGCTTTTGCCGCTCATGTCCTCATCACTGAAAATTGAAAACCAAGAAGCATGATGAAGCACATTGAATTAAAATTTATTGAAAAATAAGAACAACTTCTTTGTTTATTATAGCCTTAATAGTAATAGGTGAAGATAAAATCAATACCTAGACAGGGTTCAAATTAGACTATGAGATTTATCGGGCAAAATCAAGATCAAACCTAAACCAACATAGATATGAGATTTATCGGGAAGTTAGACTCAGTTAGTGTTGCTGCAAAACCAACATAGACAATGTAGTTTTGCAATAATGTCTTGACGATCTGTGTATAATAAAGAAAACATCTAAAGTATTCCACATGCAAAGATATTACAAGAATCTAAATGGAAAATAATGTACCTATCATTGCCCGATTTAAATGCATTTGCATCATTCTCTAGTTCATCTTCTAAACCTTCAGATTGCAAGGTGGCAAGCCTATCAGTCAAGTACATTTGAGCCATATCTAAGTCATCATCCAGTAGATGTTCAAACTCCTCACCTATAAAATATATGGCAGAATATCATTATACTAGATCAATTAGCTACTTTTCCAAACAAGAATAAATTTTTTTTATAGAAAAAGGAAAAAGAAAAGAAAAATCCCTTATCAAGAATTAATATGATGAAATGGAAAACAATTAATGACACTAAAAAGTGATGAGCATTAAAGAAGTCAATGAGATAATACTATACCTTCTGCACACGCCCAGACAAAGCAACCAAACGACCTTTTATGACTCTCACGTGTTTGAGATTAAGCGTACTGGTTTTAGCTGATAGCTCATCTAAAGCCGGATATGCTTCTTCTTCTAATGTGGAAGTCTAGATAAATACATCAACATGGATTTGTAAAAATTACATCTCTAAAGAAACTGAAATTAGATCACTTTGATGATATAGTTAAGCATTAACTAAAAACTGAAAACTCAACTTCTAGTGAAGCCTTAGTTGTGAAAAAAAAAAGATGGGGCGAATGCATTCAAAGACCAAACATGCTTCGACGATATCTCAGTAAAAGGTCCACAACCAACAAGAAGATTGATTCATAGCATTTGATGCACGATTTACTTTGTTTGAAAGGATTAAATCTATAGTTCTATCTGTTGATAAGATATAGATAACAACGATTGGCCAGAAAAGTCAAAAAACACCGGTACTGGTGCTGATTGAAGGGTGTTACCACAAGTTTAAGAATGTATAGGGAATGTTGTCAAAGTTTATACTGCTTGGCAAATTCATCTTTTCCCATAAAGGACATATTAACTCTCTCTTTGATGGATAGATTGAACTTGTGAAAGGTGTAGAGGACCTAAAAAGTTGTGTGATGCCAAATTATGGTTGAGAATATGGCTGCAAGATTATGAGGTGGTTAATGATGTCATAAATTAATCCGAGATACTCAAAAAATGAGGGTGCTTGTATATTTCATGATGTACACAGAAAGTTTCAAACAAAATTCAATCAAATACATTAATAGAATTCAATATCACAGCTCGAGTAAAGAAGTAGAAATACAAAGCAAAAGCATTAGGACATATATATTAATAGTCATACCTCAGATTCAAGGCTCCTGCAGACAGATTCTAGGCAAATCTCAAAAGCTCTGAACTCAAATGGTAATGGCTTTGAGTTGCCCCTATTTGACCATTCAGTTGGTGATTTATGACTCCTATCACTTGCCTCTGGTGGCATATTAGAGAGTGATTGCTCCATAGCTTTATTGCTTACCATATTGGCCTTCACACAGCAACACAATCAATCACACACCTCTTTTTAAATTATATCAATCATTAGGTGGTGTCGTGATGCTATTTTTTATTTTTTTTTTCTGATTAAAGTAACAATAAACTGGATATAATGTTCTCTACTTAGCATTATTTACGTTGTGTTTGGTTGGGGGATTTGAGGAGGGATTTGGAAAGAGAAAGGGAAAAGTTAGGTGAAATGTGAATAAAATATACTTACATTTCACCTAGTTTCACGAACCTTTTCCCTTTCTATTTTCAAATCCCTCCACAAATCCCTCAACCAAACACAGAATTAAGAAAAAAATAATTTCGCCAACAATTTATGGTTCTAACTATTATCTGTCCACTTATGTTTACCATAATAAGCAAAAACGAAATGGCCATTACCCAGAGCTGGTCTCCATTAATCAAGGATTCCAGATTGGGCAGATCGGTATGGATCTAACTTTTCTCCTTATTTACACAAAGCTGTAGTTCATTGCACTATAAAACCAGCTTTCTCACCGTTATAAGCTCAGAATTTTAACAATTTCACCAAGTAGTGGTTCCTAATTATATTTACAAAAACAGGATGTCTTAATTTTTAATTCTGTAAAAAAGTGTTAAAATTTTTTTCTCAGCTCGCTCATTTTTTTCATGTTGTGTTATTGACTCAAAATTCCAAAAACAAAATTATACAAATTTCACCCAACATATTCACAGATCAACCCACTAAAATAAATCAGAAGAAGAACGATCACACAAATCAAATCAGAATCAAGTTAACTTCATGAAATAAATGAAGAAAAGTACTTACACCAAAATCAGAGAGCTTGAATTCGAGATCACAAACAAATGAACCCATAAAAGGGTCTTTAGGGTTTGGTACCAGAACTTCATTCGCAGTTATAATCGCTTTAATATGTTACAAGTTCACAACAATAGCCCTCTCCCTTCGGAGAATGGCAGAGGGGTTCGAGAGCTCTGGTTCAAAAACCCTCAAATCATGAGCCTGAACTCCACTCCTCAGAATGATCGCTTGCTTCCCAAGCTCTTCAATTCGAGAGTTCCCCAATTTTGAGACGACAAACCAGGTCCTCACTCCGGAGCCCTTCCTCTTCGCCTGAAGCTGATAGGGAAGGGGAAGAGAGGTTCGATTGAGCTCGATCTGATCCGCCATTTTTTAGACAAAACTAGGGTTTTGGTGGTGAGATAGAAAAGGGTTTGATAGTCCATCAATAGAAATAGGGATTTGGGCTCAAATGGTAATTGTAACTGATACAGGTGAGACTTGGATACATATATGTTACATGCATAGTCAACGAATTTTTAAAAATCATCTGGGGCCGGGAATGATGGCCAGTTGGGATAGTTATAATCTGCCCCAGCGGTTTCCCTTTTTATTTTTGAGTGCTACTATTAGTCTTTATCAAAATTTTTTGGATCCCTTGTTTCTTTGAATCTTAACCCTAAACTCTAAATTCTAATAATATTTTTTTAGACATCTTACTTATTACCAAATCTATCCATATTCATAATATTTTCACAATAAAATACACACCCTCCTAATTTTTCATCCATGTCCTTCCCTGACTCACTCAATCTTCAGGCCCCGTTTGTTTTGGAAGATAGAATGGAGGAGATTGATAGTGAGGGGATTGATAGTGAGGAGATTAATAATGAGGAATTGTTAAATTATTTTTATATAAAATAATAAAACAAATAAAAAATATAAAAAATTAAACATTATATTTAAAAAAAAAAAAAAACTCCCAATATATAAAAATAAAAAAAAATAAAAAAATTTCTAATCCCCTCACTATTTTCTAATACCATCTCTACTTCCTCCTTACTAATCCCCCTTCCAAGGGTATTAGTAATACCAAGGGACTAATAGTCCCAAGGTTATCTCTGCAAACAAACAAGAGCATTAGTAATACTTTGGTATTATTAATCCCAATATCCTCCCTATACCTTAAAACAAACGGGGCCTCAGAGTTTGGAGCTTTGGTCCAGTACAGTTCCTCTGACCTCCCCATTGCGTAAGGATGGTAATTCACTCTCATACCCTTCGTTACTACTGTCCCATCTGGGAACACGTCATTCTTTAAAGCTTGCTTTCTATCAATGGGGATGGGTAGGTAGAGTCTCATAGTCTCGGTCAGCGACGCATGTGTGTAAACCATGTCTTTCACTTCTTCGTAGATCGGAGTTTCGGATTTCTCATTGATTTCTTTGAGAATCTCAGTTTCTACATTTGGGTTTTTGGAGACAAGCCAGAAAAACCAGATTAAAGCTTTCATCTAAATGCCCTGAATTTAAGAATCTCGATAGGAGATCAGCAGATTCGAGTGATGATTTTGAATTTGTTCACCACTGTGTAGCCGAAAAAATGTATTTTGTTTAAAACGATTTTGTCGAACAATAATGATCCTATCAGCACTGTATGTCCGAACAAAATTTGTTTATCACTATGTAACTTGAATCCATTCCAATTCACAACTTTAAAATAATATAAATTAAATCCATTAAAAATACATAACTTAAATCCATTCTAATTCACTCTTTTCCATTCTAAGTTAGTTTAACAAAGAAAATTACATAACTGACTATCTGCATTAATGTTCGGAACCTATGTATTGAACGAAAGGATTATGTTCAGTATTGTATTACCGAACATAATTCTAACAGTCAGCAAACCATACCGAACAGCTCGAACGAAACAAGAACGATTGAGAAGTTGTAAGACCATCCCTACCAAATTACTTATATTTTACCCTAAAATATTATTAAAAAGTCCATTCCTTATTTTCAGAATCACTTTTTTATCTACTTCTCCCAACAAACTTCTTATTCTTTCTCTATTTTATAAAAATAATCTTTTTAATTACTTTTAAATTTAATTTTTTTTAATAATAAAATAATGAAAACAAATGCCAACCAACACCAGTAAGCAACAGCAAAGCAGTAGAGGAAAACAAAGAATGGCGGTCGACTGGGCGGACGAGCAGGCGACCCACTGGTCAGGCCAATTTTGGGCATTTTCCTTCTTCAGTTACAGGGTACTCGCGGGACATCCGGGAGGACATCCCTTGTGTGCATTCAACAAAATAAAATAAGAATTTTTGAGTTATGAGGGAGCTACGGTGACATATTTGCGGGGTTGGATAAGGGATCTGCTGGGGAAGGATTTCTAAAGA